CTCTGTCTCTGCCCAGGAGAGCTCCTGCCTGTGCCCACCATGCAGCTCAGCAGTCACCCCTAGGTTCCTCTGTCTCTGCCCACGAGGGCTCCTGCCTGTGCCCACCATGCAGCTCAGCAGTCATCCCTAGGTTCCTCTGTCCTTGCCCAGGAGGGCTACTGCCTGTCCCCACCATGCAGCTCAGCTGCCATCCTAGGTTCCCCCACCCGTCTCAACCCCAGGGGGGCTCCTGCCTTTGCCCACCATGCAGCTCACAGCCATCCTAGGTTCCTCTGTCTCTGCCCAGGAGAGCTCCTGCCTGTGCCCACCATGCAGCTCAGTGGCCATCCTAGGTTCCTCTGTCTCTGCCCAGGAGAGCTCCTGCATGTTCCCACCATGCAGCTCAGCAGCCATCCTAGGTCCCCCCCTCCCCTGTCTCTACCCCAGGAGGGCTCCTGCCTGTTCCCACCATGCAGCTCAGCAGCCATCCCTAAGTTCCCCTCTGTCTCTGCCCAGGAGGGCTCTTGCCTGTGCCCACCATGCAGGTCCGCAGCCCTACCCTGGTTCCGGGGTCCTACAGGGAGGGTATAGGCAGTCACCTCTTAGAGCAGTGATCACAGGGCACTTTTGTTCTCTGCTCACCCCAGTTGTTTAGAGTCCTTTGGTGCTTGGGATAGTGGAAGGGAATGGGAGTGAGAAGGAGTTGCATCACTGCCATGCATTTGAAAGGGAGAACTCCTTTTGTGAGATTTGTCTGTAAGAGTTCCTGTTTGTAGCGGAAGTGTTTTCCATTCTCTAGACCCCTTTGGGATTGATGAAATGGATTGCTTTCCTTCCTGTGGTAAACAATAATGCCTGTTTCCTGTCTTGCATGTAATGTCTAGTTGAGATTATGTGTATGCTGCCTCTGTAGATTTTCTACCTTGATTTGTAATGCCAGATTCGTCGGACCCCATACAGCTCCAGGAGCTGAGTCCGATGCAATCACACAAGAGTCTTTATTGCAAGGTGGAGCCTGGACTCACAACTGTTCCCAATGCAGTGGTCCCGAAGAGTGAGTCCTGGTCCTTTGTCCAGTGAGATTTTATAGGTTTTTGGGTGTGTCACAACATCACACAGCAAATCATTTCATATCACAGGAAAGTCAAATAACAACTCTTAATATCGATTAGCATATTCATTGGCGGAAATAAGTTGGGTAAAGGTATTGGTAGTACAAAAGGGGGATTCGTTTGAACTGATTGGTTTAAGCCACGAGGGGTGTACATTCTGAAGTATATGGTTTCCCAACAATTTATCAAGCACCCTAAACTACTGGGGGGTCATCTGGCATCCCAGGTATTTCCCTGTCTCATTCTGATTGGAGGTTGCTAGGGGGTTGCTATGGGTCCCCACCTAGCCTAACTGAGTCAGGGACACCTGGCACTGCAGACCTCTCCTGTTATTTACAGACAAACAACTCAGCAGGGGGGCTGTCTGCCTAGGAGTGCTCCTGGGTTTTTCCAAGGACAAGGGTCACACCCCCTTCCTCTGGACAGGCCTTGCTCTGAGGTAGAGGCTGGTTTCTCAGGTCGCTAGTGAAAATTCACGAGTGCCKTGGTTCTGCCGTGTTGTGATGCTGGAGTTGTGTGTGTCATGAGTGGGCTGGTGTCTGACCTTGCTCTGAGACCCTAGGGCAGGGCCCTGGCCTCAGRGAGTTTGAGCACAATCCTTGCCAAGGGGGAACTGCTGCCAGGCTGGGGATTAAAGTCAGCACTGAAAGATGGAGTGTCCCTTCAGGTCCAGCCTCTGCACAGCCTCTGCCCCTTCTGGGCCTGCTAGTGTCATGTCCTAACTTAGCTGGGCTCGGGTTGAGGACACCAGGTGGAGATGCAGGTGTGTTTTTCTCTGAACAGAGGGAGGCCCTCAGGCCCCTTCTGGGCCTGCTAGTCTCAGGTCCTAACTCAGCTGGGCTCGGGTTGAGGACACCAGGTGGAGATGCAGGTGTGTTTTTCTCTTGTTGTGGGGCTGAGGGCTGAACCCTGGCCTGGCGTATGCTAGGCAAGTGCTCTACCAGCCACACTCAGCCCCAATGTAGCTATTAGATTAAGGGTTTTGTTTTTTTTTTCCCCACAAAAAGACCAGCACTGTCTGTCCTCACTCATTTGTAGAATCTGAACTGGTCTCGTAGAAGTTGAGAGCAGGATGGCGGTGGCTAGGGATGGGGGACGGGGGTGGGCTGATCCTGGCCAGCATGGCTACATGGCCGGGAGGGTTTCTGGCTCTGTGGCCAGGCTGCAGGCCCTGGATGGCAGAAACCTCCCGCCTCAGGCCCCCAGAGGCCTTCCGAGTGTTTCCACCATAAAGAACAATGAATGCTGGAGGAAATAGCGATGTTCAGTCTGATTTCCCCAATGCAAAGTGCACACACGATCCAAGCCTCACACACACCCCACTAATGGGCCTAGTTGTAATGTTTTGTGTAGGTTTAAAAAACTAGATATAAAAATGGTATTTAATATTTGGTTGTCGTATTTGGAAACTTTACACTTGTAAAGTTAATATAATTTCTCTGGTTTAAGCAATTCTCTTTAAGGGAAGAGACCCTTGTGAAAGTCTCAGTGTCACCACTCACGGAGACGCCACTAGGCTGCCGGCTGCTCCGAGACCCAGCTGTCTGCAGCAGCTTCCAGAAGCTGTGGGAAGGGACGAGCTGGGGACTGTCAGTGTGAAGCCTGGCCGAGGTCCCTGGAGGAGAGCAGGGTGGCCCCAGGTCACTGGGGGTGCCCAGGCAGCGGCTAAAGCAGACCACTCCGCTGTGCAGAAGGCAGGCAGAAGGGCGAGAACCATCTCTTTACCCCCAAGAGGCGGGAAGGAAGGCTCCTTGTGTCTTCTAGAGGGAAACTGAGCTGTGAAGCAGAGCCCTGCCCAGGCCGCAGCTCCTGGGGCGTGTGGGCGGGGCCTTGGCTGCTCTAACCTGGGCTGGATCTCTCCTCCACCACCCCTCTCCCACCCCAGGAGAAGAAGTGCTGAAGAGCTGCAGCAGGCCTGGAGGGTGTGCCCGAGAGGTGCCAGGGAGCCACTGCCAGGTGCCCCCGATGGCACACGACCCCAGTTCCCTGCCCTTGGCCTGGTGGGACTTGAGCAGCCCACGGCCGGCCCCTGGGGGTCCTGGGGGTCACAGAGCTCCAGAGGCCATGCAGCCTGGGAGAAGCAGCCCCCTCCCACTCTAGGTCAGACTGCAGGTCTGTCTTCCTCCTTAGTGTGAGGGTGCCCCGCCCGGCCTCTTGCGGTGTGTTCCTGTGGAATTTTCTGGTATCGACTGCAGCTTGCTTGCTTTCTTTCTTTCTTTCTTTCTTTCTTTCTTTCTTTCTTTCTTTCTTTCTTTCTTTCTTTCATATTCTCTCTCTCTCTCTCTCTCTCTCTCTCTCTCTCTCTCTCTCTACCAGGGATTGAGCCTGATTGTGCTTAATCCCTGGGCCACATACCAAGCCACTTTTAAGTTGCTTAGGGCTTCACTAAATTTCTGAGACCGGCTTTGAACTCCTGGTTCTCCTGCCTCAGCCTCCTGCGTGCACCACCGTCCCTAGCATAACTACAGGTTTCACCGTGTGGCCCAGGGTTCCACCAAGTGCCTCCGCCATGTGCAGATTTATCTACTTACTTGTTTGTTCATTCTTTTCAGCTCTACATGACAACAGAATGTATTTTGACATATCCTACACACGTGGAATCTAACTTATTCTGATTAGGATCCCATTCTCATTGTACGTGATGAGGAGTTCCGCTGGTTCCATGATAAACACGGGAAAGTTCTGTCCAACTTATTCTACTGTCTTTCCCATTCCCATTACCCCTTCTTTCCCTTCATTCCCCATTCTCTGATCCAATGAACTTCTATTATTTCCCCCTACCCTGTGGGGTGTTAGCATGTGCATATCAGAGAGGAATTTTGGTCTTTAGTTTTTTGGGACTGGCCTATTTCAGTTGGCAGGATAGTTTCCAGTTCCATTCATTTATTGGCAAATGCTATAATTGCATTCTTTATGACTGAGTAATATTCCATTGTGCATGTGTACCACATTTTCTTTATCCACTCATGTATTGAAGGGCATCTAGGTTGATTCCATAGCTTAGCTACTGTGAATTGTGCTGCTATAAACATTGATGTGGCTGTATCACTGTGGCATGTTGATTTTAAGTCCTTTGGGTGTAGACCAAGGAATGGGGTAGCTGGGTCAAATGGTGGTTCCATTCCTAGTTTTCTGAGGAATCTCCCTACTGCTTTCCAGAGTGGTGGCGCCAGTTTGCATCCCACCGTCCTGCGCTGTTTGTGTCCCAGTCTGCATCACTGTGATGATGAGCAGGCCTCAGAGAGAGGCTCTGTCTGACTGCTGCTCTCTTTCCTCGCCCGTCCTGCTGTGGCTCTCTCACCTTGTTCTCTCTGCCTTCAAACGAGCGTCTGACCATGCCTCTCTGTTGCAGGGATGATGAAGCCACCAGGGCCTTTGGGGGCAGCTGCCCCTGGGGTGATGCTACCTTCCCCACCTCCTGGACCACAGCAGTTTGGCCAGAATGCACCTCACGCCTCCAACGCTCCAGGCCTGCCTCCCCAAAGGTGAGCGGGGGGTTCCAGCCTGTGTGGACACACTCCAGTCTCCCGGGCGGTGCCCTGTGTGCTTGATGTTCACGTGGAGGAAAGTTGCTCTGCATGGAGTGCGTTCCTTGGGAAGATCTATTGGAAAACTACCCAGAAACAAAGCCCTGGGAAAAGTCAGGGGAAAGGGATATTCCAGAATAGATACAAGTTACTGGTCTCCATGCCACATGATTCAGTTTGGGKTTATATTCAGTATTTTAGGACTTTGTGCCCTTCCTTTAGATGCCTATGGTCTCTATTAAACTTTAAATTGCCCTACTCTCCTGGGTCCTTCACAGGATGAGCGCAGTGCCAATGAGTGCTCGATAAATAGTCTGAAGTACACATCTGATTGCAGCCGGGTGAGGCCCGGGGCTATGTGTGAGGGGTTTCCCTCGGCAGAGAGGAGTAAGGAAACAAACCTTGTACTTGTGGTTGCAGCAAGCTGAGAGAGCAGTTAGAGGGGMTGAGGAGCCCAGGTGTGAGACGCTTCAGTTTTCAGAACCTGCCACTCACAGGGGACTGTCCCTGGGGACCAGAGCCAGCGTCAGGCCCTCCCTGTTGGAAACACCTCTGTTGTCCTTTGAGCTCCTGCTGCCAGCCACAGAGCCAGGCGGTGGGCCAGGGCACCTGGGAACTGCTCCAGAATCGCTGGCGGCTCCCTCCCCAGGTTCCTGTCCCAGGGAGGAGCCTCCGTGTGACCTGGACCCTGCCAAAGCCATGAGCTCCTGCTAGTAAGAGGTGTGTGCTGCCAAGTTATGTCCTGCAGGACGGCGTGGGAGCCTGAGGCTTCCTGCGTGGGCTTGTGTGGTCACTGTCACTGAGACCAGCCCTGGACCACAGAGGAAGGGTGCCTGGGGACTCCAGGGGTGAGCGGCATTTGGCTTCAGTGTGGTCAGCGCACAGAGCGGAGGTCAGAGGGACCTGCATGGCCTCACCCTCCACCTTAGCCCCAAAGCCTGGCGGAGGCCACAGGGGAGGGAGGAACCAGGGGCCACCTCGATGCTCTGCCCGGGGGAAGAGAGGCTGCAGGACCCTCAGTCCAGACTCAAGGGGGGCCCAGCACCCACATCCTGTGAACGCAGGCGTCTGGACATTCCAGACACAGGCTCAGGCTGGCAGAGAAGGTCTTGGTCACGGCACCAGCGTGAATCCTCTCCATCTTGGTGACAGTGGCCTGCTCCCTGGGGTCAGGCTGCTGAGGAGGGAGAGCTGGACTTTGCATCACGCTCAGCGTGTCATGGTGTCTGAAGGTGAGATCCGGGAGGCAGGACAGGCTGCGGTCTTCTGAGGGGCCACCTCGGCGGTCCCAGTGAGTCCTTGGCTGCAGGACGGTGCTTCCGCACCCACAGGCCTGCGGACAGCCGTGGCCTCCTGTGAGTGGGCATCGCAGAAGGCCTGTGGCCTCCTGACCTCGGGCCAGCGTGGTGTCCCTGGTCTCCGGTGACCTAGGGAAGGAAACCACTACGCACTCGGTACCCTGTCGTCGGGTGGCAGTCCCTGCTGCCCCCTGTCCTTCCTCAGAGCACAGTCTGGCTGCCCAGGACCACACGGCCTCTGAATCTGCTCCCGCTGGGCCTCCAGGGCACCACAGGCGGGGTCGCCTCCCCTGGGGTTCACTTGAGGCCACCCGAGTGGGACTGGGGGTGGCAGTGGGTCTGGGGGGTGGCAGTGGGTCTGGGAGGCGGCAGGGCTGCCATGCTCCCTGTCCCGGGTCAGACAGTGCTGCAGGCCGAGGGCCCAGGAGCAGCAGGTGAGCCCAGCAGAGCACTGGCTCAGCCAGCACGGGGCAGGCAGCTTCTGAAGTCGGCATCGCATCTTTGTCGTTCCTACACAGAGGATCCATCAAAGAGATCCTGCTTTTCTAAATCTCAAATGTCAGATAAAAGCAAGATTAGGGCTGGGGTTGTGGCCCAGTGGCAGGGCACTTGCCTAGAACATGTGAGGCACTGGGTCCGATGCTCAGAACCACATAGAGGAAATAAGTAAAGCTGTTGGGTCCACCGAAAACAAAAAAAAAAAAAAAAAAAAACAAAAAAAAAGGCAAGATTAAGTCAGAGTCCTGTGTTGATATGACTTTTTTTTTTTTGGTACTGAGAATTGATCCCAGGGGCACTGGACCACTGAGCCACCTCCCCAGCCCTATTTTGTATTTTATTTAGAGACAGGGTCTCACTGAGTTGCTTAGTGCCTCGCTTTTGCTGA